TTGACCAAATTTGACCTGAGCAGCCATCTTGTGTGTTTACAGCGGTGTCTGCCACAATCGCACACTTTCTAAAATTCTAATTCCTGCAACGTATGGTGTTTATTGATGTTTCTAAGAACCAGACCGTAGTGAAGTCTGCCCGTGAGTGCTATACCTGTGAAAACTTCATTTGCGCTATCATCGAGGCAAAAGTTGGATTCCACGAAATCGAATGTCTCTCTCGTGCATCGCGTATAGATACACAGTTCTCGTTGCTTGTGTGAGCTTACGGACACAGATTACGGCCCACGAAGTCGCCCCCCTTAAGTCATTTTTCACCAATGAGACTACTGTTCGGGCTACCCAATTGGCACACTATTTTATCAAAAGGGAAAAAGCTGCATATGCCACATTGGGACGACCGAGTTCGAATTTATTAATCAGTGTAAATAATGAATCAAATAATGGAAATACTTTCAAAATTTAATGACTTGTTCCTTTGTGTTTTCTCTTATAGATAAGTGAACAAATATTTACTCTTGCATGTCATATTCATCCATTCAACCGAAAAATCGGATATTTTTATTCCCGCCAGATCATGTTCGATACAGGTAATATAAATAGAATGTATAATACTCAATTTGTGCTAATAATGCTCAGAACTCATGCTTTATCGGTAACGTCGGATATTAACTCGAAAGTGGTAAGGGGGCTCTAGAGCCCCCGAAACATGTAACAGAAAATTGCATTGGATGTTAGGTCTATTCTTATACCTCGTCGGTGGTGATTATCCCTTAACCACGTTATACGACTTAAATCTAACACACATAGAAATTTGCTACTTCTTGTATTCTATACATACTTAACACGTTAACACCAGCTTGTACGCCGACGAGCAACTCGGCTTCCACTAGGAAAAAAAGTGACGTAGAGAAAGGCCTCCTACCACTTGGTATTTGGAATTATTGAAATGTATGCCAAATTAACATTCGATTTAACATTAATTTCAGTACCTAGAATAAATTTACCAAGTGGTAGGAGACTTTTATTCTACGCCGCATTTTCCCCTAGTGGAAGACGAGTTTGCTCGTGGGTGTACCACCGATGGCTTTCAATAATTTTATTGTCTTCGACAGAGGTTCTTATAAAGAAACCAAAAAATGGTTGTTCTTTATCAGACTTCTGTTTTTCCAATCCCTAACACAGCCGTTCAGTGTAAAAAAGTGCCGTTAACGACGCCGCCCGGTGGAGCAAAATATAAATTACAGCGTCAACGTATTACGCTACTACTTCACCGATACTTTCTAACATTTTCCCAGTAAAGTTAGTGACATACTTTATTTAAAAAAAAAATACGGATTAGGCATAAAACACAAACTGATAACAATAAAACTTAACATGTAGAGATGTAACATATGATTATACAGGATGTTCTACCAACTCTGTCCACCTGACATATCTCCCTTATTGTTCGTTCAATATAATAAGCGAAAACATTACTTACAAAAGTTCTATAGTTGCATTAAGACAAAACATGGTGGTAATAGTTTCTGTACTGGTGTAGGCATAGAGTAGTCCAGTGGTCAATTTTCTTTTTTTTTAAATAGAATATACAATTATTTACTGTCAAATGAGATAGAATATCAAATACAGTAGACATTCGTTTTTTGCAGCCTTCGGGGCTGTAGAGGGCCAGAATTCCAGGATTCTGAGGTATTCGATTTTGTCCGTCTATTACTCCCATTATAAAACATGTTTGATATGATATTCCGCGTAGAGCGTTCCGTGTCCGAGGAGCTGTAAAGTATTGTAACCGTACATATAGGACATATGCAGTTACATGCGTGTCGTGACAGAACTATAGCTAGGCAGCACCTATAGTCAGACCACCGGCGCAGTAATACAGCTGTTCGCGACCGCGGAACGCACAAGTAGTTACGTCGGGAGAGAGGGGCCCACGTGATAACACCATATGCGTGCGCAGTGATCCCCTCTTCGCTAAATCGAAGGAGGTCGATGCAGGATCCGAGATTCTCACTCTGTGACTGGAAGCGTTCCAGTGTAGGCGCGTTTGATTTAATACATAGAGTCCGTTTGGCGAGAAACGGTACGTGCCTGGGAAGTCAAGCCGACTTGGTGCGTGAGGCAAACCGTCCTCACCATCCTCACGCGTACGCGCCTCAAACAGAGGAGTCGTTATTTGCAAACCGCTTGACGGCAGTGTCCATCGGATCTCATTCAATTCCTTGCCTTGCTGAACGCCCAGCACAGTTGTCACAAGTTTTCATTCAACTTTAAAATCAAATATTGTAACTGTAACATTATAAATTCAGCAAAGTAAATTCAGTAAAATCACGTTATTTCTTTCAATATAAAGTAACGACTCGTTGAGGCGAGTATACGTGAGCGAACAGCTCAAAGTCAGGTTTGTTTTTCAATTAAATGTGAGGCTCGCCTCACGGCCAAGGCTCGGCTTGCCTTTTCACACGAGGGGCTCGCCAGACGATTATTCGTCGAGAAAGCAACTGATGCCACCGTCTAGAATCTCGGGTTAGGTAGAGGATCTATGGTGATTCCATCGTGATATTCGGAGTAAGATTCAAGTAGATGAGTTCGGTTTGTTAGAGCTGAAGCACGATCACCGTTTGATGACCTAGCACTGGAAAGAAGTGTGGAACCACCTCCGTGTGCACCCACTCTGAAATCTTTTGTGCAGTATTCTCACGTGGGTTTAGTGTGTGTCTCCATCCAAGAAATCAACCCGATTTATCGGCACGACTATTGGTTGCTGGGACGGACGCCGCCTTCCTAGATAAACTCGTACAAATATTCTCGATAATAGCATCATGCGCGTGTACGCGTACGTTGGTACGCGATTCGTTCCGTGAAGTTGAGGACGTCGAGCGTCTCCGTCTAAAACCCACACCGCGCGTCCGAGTACCAAAGTTTCTATCTGCGATCGCCATACAATTTCCTGCGTAATTTGTATCGCGCGTTAAGGACGTCGATCGTCTCCGTCTGAAACCCGCGTCGCGTGATTAGTACGTAAGGGACTCGGTTCGCAACCACTTTCCATAACATCAAGAATCGGCGCCTGTGCCGACATACATACCATAAAGACTGGCACATTGTAGTCGCGTAGCACACGCGAAGGAGACAAACAAAACCAGAATATATTTCATTTCTACCAGACATAACGCATAATTCTCTTAACAAGATTCTCATTGCCGCCTCTCCTGTGCCAGAAGGCACGAATCCTGCGTTCCTATCACCGACAAGTATCACCTTTGGTCGATAGGGATAAGAGTAACCGCCCTTAGATTACACGTCGCATGATCAGTAGATTCAGTCGCTTGAAATTAAAGATAGGCAAATAAAATAACGGTTACAGTATTGACTATGTGCATGGATTCAATTTTGTAATCTGTGAATTATTGGAAGTCTTAGATGTCTTATCGTCTCAAGGGTACTTTTCTTTTATGTACCATAATATTTTCTGTCCAATGTTTGTTTATATCCAAAATACTGAGCATACCTACAAACATTTTTCATAATGAAAGTGACAGGATAGAAAAGTAGTCTTAGGAATAGTGAGTTTTAAAATAAGAGTATGGTACTTTTATATACAAAGTTCACTATTTTATCGAATTTAAGAATAAAAAGTTGGACATTCTATTTAAAAAAACAAAATTGACTTTCAATCCTCCTTTACACCTCCACCTGTAAAGAAACTATAGCCATCATGTTTCATCTTTGTTATAAGCACAGAAATTATGTAAGTAATGTTTTTGCTCATTACTTGAAATAATGCTGATATCTTAGCTGAACAGAGTTGGTGCGACAACCTGTATATTGACCTGTGTATGTTGACATTAATATTTACCATATTAATTTGTAGACTCCAAAATTGGTAAAACTAAGGACTGACATTGAAGCAATTCAATGTAGTAATGTCTGACACTATCAACGCCAAAGTTCATCATTGTCAAAAAAAAAAATTCAAATAGCATATCTGGACCCCAGGGCCAGAGTGTATTAGGGCACACTTTTCGATCTTTAGAAGAGAACATTTCAAAGGTACGAAAACCTTGTAACTTTGGAATCATTCGGTAAGAATTCAATGACAAACAACCGTTTCATTTCAACTATTGTAGGGACTTAAGTCTTGATATAAAGAAATGATGAACCTTGCATTAAGTGCCTTATGTGATGAACTTTACACTATTTGGCTCAGAACAACATATGGACATTGTATCATTTTTACACTATTATATTAACCTCTTGCCATTCGATTTCATTTACAACTTTCTTCTCAAGAAGAAACTTCAACTCACTTCATCATTAATATTTTCCCAACCACAAAAAAATTCTGTTCTTATAGCAAGTGTTACATTCATTCGATACCTTAAATGTTAATACCAGTGGAATAGTATTTCACATCGACTCAAAAAAAAAAGAATAATATACGATACATGTTTACTAAATTCAGTTTAAAATCGTTATCATGTGTCTGACTCGATGTTGTAAAGCAAGGGGTTAAAAACTAAATGGCTTAGAACGAAATAATTTTTACCATTGGAAAGACTGGAAAATTTAATACAAGAAACATCTAAAATGTAATTTTTTTTAAAAAGTGGACTTCATACACTATTGCTCTGGGGTCCAGATGTGTTACCATTTTTATACGTACTGAAATTAATTCAACCTTTTATAGATAATATTAGGTATTAAAATCTTTATTGTAATACATACTCAGGTATGACTGCATTTTATATTTATAAAGTTCTTTTTTTCATTACACAAAGTCTATATAAATATTATAGTACACATTATTTATGAAAGATCTTACAATGGATATATCATTCTTTGTGACTTTACAACAAATAAAATAAATTACAATCAATTCAAAATAATAAAAATGATATATAGATTTAATAGTGGATCATGTACATGGAAACTCATGTTAATTCTTATTGTAATCAAATTATTATTTCATAAATTATATTTTAGAAGGTACTTACATTTAGTTTCTCACGTAATGTCACATCTGGTACGGCAAAATCAACAGGACTAATAAATAAGGACTCCAGATGTTTTTCCTGTAACAAATTATATTCACACTTACATAGACTATTTTTATTTGCATGTATAATTGTGGTACATTATTGTTACTTGTATTCTTAAAAGATTATGTATTTTTCACTATATATTTCTTAATGTCCGTTAAATAAAATTAAATATAAAATAGTCATTTTGATCTCCAAGTAACTCAAAAAATGTATGTACATTACTTTCATCTATAAAGATATAGTATATATGTGAGCTAAACAACCACAAAGAACTTATTTTGTATGTTACTATAAAATGATTATAAATAGGCTATGGATTTTATGCATTTATAAGATATCTGATCATTAAACCTTGCTGATTTCCTCACTTACTCCTTATTTCAAATGTGGAAATAATTTAAGTATGTAATAGTTTACAATTCGGTCGGTATCCCAGATTTTCTTGAAACTTTAGTACGTTGAAAGGGACTCTCTAAAAAAGCAAAATATCATTTTGAAACATGTCATGAACAATTATAAATACCTTTAATTTCACGTTAACTCCGTGCCATACAATTTCTTTTACGACTTCGCTCTGAAGAATTTCTTTATCCTTAATATTTTCTCAGATCATAAAAGAAATTCTATTCTTATGGCAAGTGTTACATTTATTCTAAACCATAAATGTTAATATCAGCGAAACAATATTTCACGTTGACTCAAAAAAAACGAATAATATACATGTTCACTAAATTCAGTTTGACATCGTTATCACGTGTTTGTCTCGATGTTATAAGACGAAGGATTAAATTTGTAACCGAAGCCTAACTTAAAGGTCATTACAATGCAGATTAAGCGAAACGACATAAACTGTAAACCGTAAAAAAAAGGAAGTTTACTTGTTTATTTTCAAAGCAATATACTGTTCACATACTTATAGTTACTTATAGTTCAGTATTATAGTTTAATAAAAAAAACGAATACTAATAATCATCTATACTAGGTTATTAAAGGTACTTATAATTATTTGCGACATTTTTTAAAACGATATTTTGCCATTTTAGAGAGTACCTTTCAATATCATAAAGTTTGAAGAAAATCGGAGATACCGAACGAATTGTAAATTCTTACCATAATTTATTCTTAAGAAATGCAAAACATAAAAAGTAGACAGAAAATTTAAGTTAAAGGCTGAACTTTACTTTCCTGGACCAAAAATTGACTTTTTTTATATCATCCGGTAATATTCAACGAGTGCAGTCTAAAATTGCAAGTTTTAAGTTTAGGAATCCACCGGATCAAAAGTTATATGCGTATGTAAAACCAAGCATTTTAAGCGTACCTTAAAGGTTAGTTTAACGCCATATTGACTTCCACGGCCTGTTAACTCCCATTAGAATAGTATGGTCAGTCATAAGCTACCGGCCCTTATCACCAATGGTGCTAAAGTCGTATTTTTCGACACATGTACTTCTATGTAGTGCTATGTACTCGGTGGATAAAACACGTTTTGGCGGTGGAGGGAGTTCAAGCCAGGTATGTATTTTTTCCACAAGAAAGGACGACTTCATTTTAAAGGCTAAGAATAAGTATTATGTTTTATTTTTATATAACTTACATGCAAATGTATTTTTTCCTTCAATATTACTTATTTTTTAGATGAAATGGTGCAACCAGAAGATGGCACATCTCTGACTGCAGAAAGCCAGTTTGAGGAACTGGGTAAGTTTG